AAAAAGAGAAAAGAAAAAGAGAAAGAAACCAAGAACTAGGTACATGGATAACCGCTACATCTCAACCAACTCCATCTCATCCCATCCACCTTCACCATCAGCGCCCAACGACCGCCCCCCCTAACATACCTCAAAGGCTTTCCATCCTCACTTTCAGCATCCAGCTTCGCCGCAAGTTTCTTCAAGACCTACTGGTCGGGCCACGCGCGCCGCGTTTCCGGTTTCTTGTCGAACAAAATACGGTAGATATGTTTGAGCGGTAAACAAGCCTTCAAACCCAACAAAAACACATCGGATAAACGACAAAACGCATGCAAAACAACCACCAATAGTATCTTTACCCAGCAGACGCCTCGACATCCACATCATCGTGGAGGGCCAGATCTTCCATCTCAATGTCGTCATCCTCATCCGATCCCATTTCATCCGAGGTTTTGACCAGGCCAGGCTCACCGAGGTTCAGATCAATGCCGTACCGGCCGGCGGACTCGATCAAACCGAATCGGATCGGCTTTCCACTTCCTCCCATCTCCTAGTCCCACCTTTCAGCAAACTCCACAAGATCGGAGGTCGAAGAATTGCTGGAGCATGCCGCCGGCGCTTCCATCAAGTTTTTTTGGCGGTCCACAAGTTCGCTCGTTGCCGTTTGTCCCTTGTTCGGTCTGGTGAAGGAAAAAATATGCGAGCTCAAGCGGGCTCATGGTGAACTCCCTTGGAAGCTTATCGACACGCCACTCGATCAGAGCGATACAAAAAGCAGGGAGAAAACCGACAACAACGCAAAGAACGAAAAGCCCCATGTGGCGGATCTTGTCTACCTCTTCGATCGTCTCGCCATAGTACTTGACCCGTTTGGTCTCGCCTCGTTCCACAGCCGAAATCACCGAGACCCGGAGGGCCAGCTCCTGGTACCATCCCACAATATCATCCATCGGCGAGCGGAAACGAAGGCCGCACGTATTATCCTGCTTGAAGTTCGGATACTGTCTTTGACCGTATGGGCGTGAAAGGTAGCTCTTTTTTCCGGAGACGACACCTTGTTGGAAGAGCTGTTGTTGGAACCCCCAGCTGAACGTAGAAGAGGCCGCCGTGGACCCGAGCGAGAGAATGTTGTACACCGATAGTACATAATCAACGTATGGAAACCTGGGAGGTTCCGAGCGAGGTTTTCCGTAGGCCGAAAAAACGACCGCAAGTTCGAACCCAGTGACTAGAAGTGCCAGAGCCCACTTGTTAGACTCCAAGGCGACCAATAATTTTTCGGGAATGGTGAATTGAAAACTCACTAAGACAACTGAGGACAACCGTCACAATGAAAAGCCAGGGAGTACACCTGGGCTGGGAAACAGTTCTCCCAAACAAACTCGCCATGGCGCGAGGGGTCAACGGGAACGGAATGGCTGGTGTGCGGCTACAAAGGGCGATGGCACGACAATAAAAACGGCGACAATGAAGGGCAAAGGCACAACGACAAAAAATAACGGCGGCAACTCTTTGAGCTCGCGGCTGAAGAAAAAAAGAAGAGGAGAAAAAGAGGGTGGAGAGAGGTGCTTTTACTACCGAGGATGGAAGACTACCTAGTGAGACTGCTATGATGTGTTTCTTTCCTTCCCAAGTGTTCGTCTCGGTCCGGGTGTTTCTTCTCTACCAGCCCGTCTTCCAACCTGCCTGATGCTAAGTGAAATATGCCAAGTCGGTTTTGAAGGTCTACCTCCAACCTGCCGTTGCTTCCTTCCTCCACAGCTGTCACTTCTACGACCCAAACTCCAGCTTGCTGAAAAGCGTCATCGAGAAGATTGAGGGAGTGTTTGGCTGAGAGTTTGGCTGAGAAGCGCCAGTTGAGTCGGTCCTGCCGTTGCTTCCTTCCTCAGCAATGCGAGTTTCTCCGCTAGTGCCATCTTCATCTCTGGGCTATTGGTTCCGGTGCGTAAGTGCTATCAATAGGAAAATGGCCATCAAGTCCTCTCGCACTTGAGGACGTGGATAAGGCAAACACTTTGCCGATGGCAGGAGCAATGAAGCATGGCTCTTGGTCGCCTGACATGTTGATGGGTTCACCTCAGAAGATGGAAAGTGGTGTGCCCTCCGGATCCCAGGGCACTTCTACTTTACAATGAGAGTGACCATCACGTACAGCTTTCCCGGAGTAAGCCGCTCAACACTATGAGAATGAACGAACCTCCCAGCCACCGTTACCCAGTTATGCTAGTGGAAAGGATACTTGGGAGCGACAGATAGAAAACACATAGGAGACATATGGGAGGAGCAGAGCCTCAACCCGGGATCAAGGTCTTGTGAAGAGTTGAACTCAAGGTGATGCACTATTGGTTGGAGAAAGGTCAGGCACAACATGGGTCTCGTTCATGACTGCCAGGTGACTTCCAATTTTCACAAGTGTGGTCAAGTTACCCTTGAAATCTTCCAGAGATCGTAAGGTAGAAAACACCCTGCTCACAATCCAGCCTTTCAGCCTTCCACTCCTTCTCTTCCGACATCTACTCCTTTCAGTGCTCTCTTTCCAGCCCTCCCCTTCCAGCCCAAGATAACAATCATCACCTTCCAGCTTCGAGCCTTTCATCTTTCCAATCCTTCCCTTCTAAAATTCACTCTTTCCAATGCTCATCTTTCAGTCCTCCTCATACAGCCTCGCCCTTCCAACCATGTGCTCCCAGCCTTCCAGCCTCTGGTCTTCCCTTTCCAACACTTCAGTCCTCGTTCCAGCCTTGCCCATTCAGTCTTCCCCTTCTAACCTTCACTCTTTCCAGTCGTACCAATATTAGCCGTCGCTAATCGGGTACATAAGACCACCCATTCCCACCCTTCCCATAGCTTGTTTTCCTATTTTCTTCTTCATACTCGGAGAGTCATCACAGACCGCGTCGTTTACTTCTTTTGTCGAGCCTTCTTTTCTCGTTCATCAAAGAGTGATAACTTCACAGTTCTACTCACTGTTTTATTTACACATTTGCTTCTCCTCTTTGGAGAGTTGCTTTTTCTTTTTTTGCGCCCCAACTCCATTCTCTTCCGAATCTTCCGTCCCTCTCGCGCCGATTTCGTCTCGTCTTCCTCGTCCAGTCCGGCTGCCCGGCAACCTCTCTTTCGACTGAGACTTGTCTCCCGCCTTCACAAGTCCATTCGGCCACCATGCGCAGCCGCCCAGCATGATGGAGTTTCTCACTTGCCCGGCCTGGATGCCCGTTTGGGTTCGGCGGTTTCCGTTCGCCCTTTTCGTCACCATCGCGGCGGGTGTCTACGGTGAGTTTCAGTCCGCAAATCTATCGAGTTGACCGCCGTATTAGAAACTCGCGCGGAACGCTTCCATCCCTCTTTTCAGCTGCGCCGGGCATGGATGGTCATCGCAGATAAGTATGCAAACCGAACACAACGAATGTGTCCAAGGTAACGTTTTGGAGGGTGATGCCCTTCATTCATTGTTCACTAACTGGAAAGATACCTACCTACGGCGCAGATATTCCGGCAGCAGATTCCCGTCCTCCTGCCCGGCGCTCAACAAGAGAGGGATCAATGGCGTTCTGCAGCAGTCTCGTAACTAACTTGTGCCTTCCTGTTTTAGTCTTCGTCGGCAACATGGTCATTATGACCACGCACGTGGGCACCCCGGTGTCGGATTCGTTCCTCGCTAACCCGCAGATGTGGATGAACATGAACGGTCTTGTTGGCAACGGCGTCCAGACCTGGGGCTTCATCGAGGTCGCCAAGCTCGGGTTCTGGGTACGATGCAGGCGGGGGATTACTGTAAGCTTCTTGTGCTTCTGCCAAACAGTCCCAACAACAAAAACTGATACGGTATCTAGCTTTCGGAGTTCCATTACCAATGGGAGGCAGCCACTAGCCTCCTGGAGGCGACGAAGGGGCTTAGGCTTGCCAAGGTCTGAAAGATCGCCTGCTGTAAGTTGTTATGTCCGTTTGGTTTGAGTCGTGTTCGTTCCGGCAGTAGTGCAATAAAAGAAGCTCTTCTGTCCCTGAACTAAAGCGTTTCGGCCACGAAATAAAGGCTTCTGTCACTATGCTTGGAGGTTGCTGACACTTTTGATACCTTGAAATAGTATGTTAGTTTTTTTGGCTCGTCTTACTTGCCAATGTGTGGTTGTGGGGAAACGGTGTTGACCGTAGGGACGTTATTACGCGTACCTATGGGATCACCCACGTCCACATGACTTCCAACATAATACCTGCCACCCAGTTACCCTCTGGCTTCATTCTTGACCGTCCGATCTCGGCCGCGAATCGGGTCTATAACAACAGGAGTGACATTCAGTTATTCCCGGAGAGGATCTGTGGTGACTGCCAGGTGCACGCTCTCGGAAGTTGGCCCAATCGGTTAAGAATTGCGGTTTGGCTGGCCAGCTGATTTCACAGTCTCAAATGGTAGTCACTACAATTTTGATGACGGAGTGAGTCTCAGGCACTGGTCCCCAAACTCTTTTTTCGGTCAGCATAAGGGACGAACCGGGCCCTGACAATCGTGTTTTGACCGTAAGGTCAACTCACAAATCGGAAAACAGTTGCGCGGGAACCTATTTGATCAGCCAGTGTGTGCTCACGCCGTCCATCGTTGCGTATCGCATGCAGGTGACGGGCAACTTCACCAAGCACACACAATTCGAGGTGCTTCACGACGTAACGTATGTTTTTCATCGTTCTTGTCATCAGCTTATGTTTGGAAAGAGGAAATATGCTAATGGACATGGCAGCTTGGTTGACGCATCGATCTATGCCTTGGGCCCATTTCAATCCTACTTGGGCGGCTTGCCAGCTGACAATTCTCCCATCATCCATGATGGCCGGTTGGAGTATCTCGCAAGGCTAGCCCAGAAAAGATATGGCACCCAATACACGGCCATCCGAGGCCAACGTTGGTGGCAATTCCACGACGACCGTTTTGGCCTGCAATGGGCCACCGGAGGAGCGTCGCTTCCGGATACACCAACCATCCCACGTTCGAGTGGAACTTTGATTTACCGTGCCAGATAGGGTTAGAGTTCGATTCTTCTATCGACAACATCCTAAAGTACCTCAACGAGATGGCGTTCCGGGTCTCGGCTCTGACGGCCTCGTACACCAACGCTACGCAATGGGTTCCGTACGTCGAGGAGAAATCGGAAACCTAGTAGGTGATTCACCCGACGCTTGTCAAGCTCCGTCTCTAGTCCGCATTTGCAACCAGTGTCTTTGGGCTTCTTGCTGCTATCGCTCTCTACTGGCACTATTGGGAACTGCCTCGTGACCACTCAATGAGCCTGCTCGAGCTTATCAAGTCGGTCGCTCATTCCGGAGACGGTCCTCGAAGCATCCTCCATGTCATTGTCTTGCAGGGCGCCCAGATTGATACTGCGGCGGGTTTGAAAAAGTTCGTCCTGATGACTGGGATAGCAAAATGACCAGCAGCTCCTGGTGTACGAGAAAGGGCCAAATAGGTGGAGGACGTAGTCAAGGGTGGTGACCTGGAGGAGGGCCGTGGTGCTCATGAGGAGGTTGGCGACGACGACGAAGAGTCACTTCGCAAATACGGAGAGGATGGCAAGACTGCCTGTTGCTTGAGATAGAGAGAAACGGATCGGATCGATGAATTTCACCCACCGGACGAAACATGATATTCGGAGGACACACCAGCTAAACATAGTTCCATTTGGTCATATGGATGAGATGCAGCACCATTTGAGACGGATAAGATGCGTTTGTTATTAGTGGGTTGGTATAAATGATACCAAAGTACTTTTGTATTTACCTACTACTCAAAGTGTTTTTTTTCCTACAAAGTTCGTGTGAAATCAATCAATCAATCAATCAATCCTCTTCATGACCGAAAAAAAACGTAACTGGACCATTGTATTGTGCCGAAGAATCTTGCTGCCATCGCTGGAGCTGTATTGTACAAGTCTCCGACACCTGACTCTCGTCGGGTTTTCCATAATGAGTGCCCAGCGAGTGTTAAGTGTTGAATGTTGAGTATAGGGTACACTCTGCGCACGCCCAAATGCCCTACAAACACGCCTACACAAGTATACACTTTGGAACCACTCAAGGGTAAACGGAACTACCCTACTCCAAATACCAGTTTTTCTTCCTAAACTTTAATTCTTAAGTCCATTAAGAGTAACCCAAGGCTCTTTGGAGAGTGTCAGCCTTATATATTATTTTAGGGGTGGTAGATGCCAACTAACTAGTAGGTACCTTAGGTATCTTCGCGCGATGCAATTGTCAAGTGTAGCCAATTATATCTAAATCCAAGTAAAAAAGAAACCAATTGAACCTTCTGAAGAGGCTTTACATTTATACTATTAAGAAAGCCTTTTCCCTGGATTGGGTTTATGAAAGGAATCGCTAGTTGTAGCCACTTCGCCTTCTATTATAGGCGTGTTTGTACCTAGGGTTTTTGGGCGTGTGTAGAGTGCACTGTGACGAACCATTACAAGCACAGGAGTATTATCGCTGGGATAGAACAATAGAGTAACGGAGTAGTAGCCGAAAGGTACTGGTAGATTGTGATAGCTATTCCTTGCTGAAGAACCCGGTATAACGAAGGCCGGGAGGCCTTCTTATATACTGGTCTTCAACCCCGTCCCATGGTCCCGAAAGCCCGGGACATCGGGTCCGTCCCGTGGTCCCGTAGACTCGGGACCCCGGGTCCTATCTGATTGGTCAATCTATCTAGCTTACATGAGGCTCAACGATTGGATTGTAACATGCACCCTTTGAGTATTGAGTGATTGGGGATTTGGAACTCGGCAGGAAGGGGAATTATTACCTACTCCTGCATACAACCCCTTCCGACTCGCTGTCCCGACTCCCGGCTTCTCTTCAATATTCCTTCCTCCCCGGTGCGAATCGGCGAAGGTTGAGCTTGTGTATTCTAGAGGTCGGTTTGTACTAACTTACTCTGTGGTTAATCGACGGATCATCATTCTCAATTTCACAAGGGCAGTTGAGTCGCGTTCTGTTTTGTACAGTAAGGGGGGGAAAACAATCTAGTAATTGCGTATTGGTACAAGTGTATGGTACAAGTAAGTGTCTGTCTGTGTCTGTGTGTGTGTGTGTGTATCTCTCGGCTGATCCCTTATCCTCCTCTATATGGTGTTCTTCAGATCTCGTTCGTCTTCTATGCCCCCTGAACTTATTGATGTTCCTCCGCTCTATCAGTTGTTATTGTTCCCCAATCTTCCGCTCTAGAGGTGTAACTGACATGGGGGTAGACCCGTCTCTATCTGATCCTCATCCACCCCTCTAAAAGATACCGTATCGTCACCCATATAATACACTCTCCCGTATCATACACTCCCGTCCCTCAATATTGTACAGTCCTTCCAACCTGTGTTCTTACAACCATCGACCCTGTACACGGTCCTAGTCCTGGTTCTGGTTCTGGTAGTAATACATCCAACTCTTTCTCTCCATCCTTTTCCCAAGCAACAAAAAAGACAGAAAAAAACAAAACGCCGCGCACCAAACAAATGAGTATAGTTACAGAGATCCTTTCCTCCCATGATGACGATAAAGGAAATAGCCATCCTTCTCCTAGCACGTACACACGCCGTAGATATCCCGGAAAAACGCAAAGAAAAAGACAAACAAACAGATGAGAACTCTTAGCACCTTTTTAACTGGCACCGCCATCATTGTCAACTTCCGGCTCCAGCTTGGGAAGTACTAGGCCCGGTCCCGCAACCAGACCCGGAAGACCCTGGCGTGGGAACCATAGCCATGAGTCCCTTCAGCTGCTGCTGCCCCATGCCCATCGTGCGACTCCTCGCTCTCGTAAGGCCCCCAGGGTCAATGGGGCTCCACCCTGGAACGTTGTAGAGGGAGGTAGGCGGATCCCCAAATTGACCGGGAAGCGGACCGGACAGATGTGGTGCATTGGGACGGAGCGGTTGCTGTTGTTGGCGAACGAAACTCGCATGCTGCAATCCTCCGGGGGCGTTGGAACCTGCACCAAGCCTCGGATCGATGTTCAATCCTTGGGCTTGGTTTTGGTGAGATGGTTGTTGATCTCCCATGGGGATATCATCCATTCCTTGACCCTGACCTTGTCCAGGTCCAGGTCCGCTGGGACGTGCGAGCGGCGCTTGACCATGAGCATGCGCGGAAGCAGCACTCCATATTCCAGGCTGCTGCTGCTGCATTGATTGCTGCTGGTGCATCATCGGATTCGCATTATGTCCCTGGACCGCGCCTATTCCAGACGCTTGGCTTAGTCCTAGCCCTTGATCCGGGCCCATCACCAGTCCCGGTATTTGCCCGGCCATGCCTTGCTGCGTTTGTGCCATACCGAAAGCACCGGCGCCGCCAGGGTCTTGATGTAACCCTGGGCTTGATCCGATCCGCATGCCCCCTGGTCTTGTAGTCGCCCACATGTAAAGAGGCTCGGCAAATTGCTTCCTACTCGTCGGCGTTGCGCTGAGTGCCCTCATGAAGACATCGAGCAGATCGACATCATCTTCCTCCTCGTATTCCATGGCCTGCTCGGCTGGGGAGTTATTTGCTGACCTGGCGGCTTGCTTGCCCTTTCCAGAGCATGCACTGAGTTTCCGGCCGAAATTGGGCAAGGTCAGAAACTGACCCTCCATAGAGGCCTTGTCGTACGAGTCCAGCACGTTCATACACCAAGCGCCAATCTCAAAGATCTTCTCAAAGATGCCAATCCCGTTGACCTCCAGCGCTGCCATCCCCTTTGCATCGAATCCCCCAATTTGCATGAGAGAGCGCAAGACCAGGGCAGTTTGCCTAGCAATCGTCAGAGGGAATGCGAAATGCATACTCTCGTTCTCCGAACCCCATGACAGATACCCTTGCCGCAAAGAAGAGAGCCAAATGATTAGTCTGAGCCACTGCTGAGTTACCAAAAGCTCGGCAGTCTGAGAGGGTGTCGGTTCCGCAGCTGGTGCCACAGGGTCCGTAGGCGAAGAGGACAGCGACGAGGATGAAAGTGAAGGGTCGGAAAAGCCGCAAGCCTGACTAACCGGAATCTGTACAGAAGATACAGCAACGGTGGGAGAGGGAGGAAGAAGTGGGTGTGGGATGGACAAGCCGCCTGAGCTACCAGCTGGTCGAGAAAGTTGATTTTGCAGAGCGTGGTAGGTATTGACATTGACAGTGGGATGGGAACCGTAGGTCCAGGCTTCGATGATGGAGTCACGGAGGGGAATGTAGATGCCGAGAAGCTGGAGAAAACCGGTGTGAATGCCGCGGGATTCGTAAGCGTGGAGGGTCATGGGAAGTTTGGGTGTTCGGCGTAGCATGAGCGGCTTGTTGCGAAGGATCGCAAATGACCTGCTTTTATTAGTATGCGTTTCGCTAAACCGCTGGACAAAAGCGCAAAGGAGACAAACAACTGGGGGAAAGCGCAAAAGAGACTTACCGTTCCATAACGTACAACAACCAGAACACCCTCTGCCGGCACAGGGCTTCCTCGGGACTCAAGCCTGCATAAGTTGACTCATCTTCCAAGCCCAGCTCCTGTGCAAAGGTCAGGGCTTCTCGCAGGTAGACCCAAGCCTTGGTGCTCTGGTTGATTTCGAAGAAAGAAGAAGCGAGAAACATGGACGAGACGACCGTGTTCAGGGAAATGTTCTCATATAAGTCATATTGCTTCCTAACATCTAAGCAGTCGTTGAGGAGGAAACGGCCTGCCTGGTCCCAGAATTCGGGACTGTCTTCAGCCCCGAGGCTGTGGCCGGACATGCGGAAACAGGTAAGAGCCGAAAGGGAATACAGGAGGTTCTTTTCGGGGAGATCGCAGATTCGCGGGTCCATTCGTTGGATTTCCGGCATGTACAGGACGGGCATGACGGGATACAGGTGCTGATAGAAGAGTTCTACACATTTGGGAACGAGGTAGAGAAATGCGCCTCTTGAGGGGAAAGTGTGTTCGTTGGCAAAGAGGCCGGTTGTTTCGGGGGCTATGCTCACGTCGGAGGCCCAGGTAGTAGAGGCGGAAGCGTTTTGCGGGTAGATGTCGGTATTGTTTGACCGGGCTCCGTCGCTCACCTCCGGACTAATTTTGGTCAGCACTGCGTTTTGACACGGAAAACGGGGAGCACTTACTCTCCAGAGCTGCTTGGACGGTGTTCTTCCTTCTTTCCAGCCTCGCGCTCTCTGAGTCTGTTGATAAGACGACCTCGGCCAGGTCTAGGCCCTCTCTTACGTGGCACATGGTTTCTGGTGCATTGGAGTTTGGCGTCTATGCAAGGTTGACAAGGCGACTGGTAATCGCATCGGATTCCTATAAGCAAGCGAAGCAAGGTTAGCCTTTTGTGGTTATTTTCCGAATTTGACAATCAGGGTCTTATTGCTGACAGGGATCGACACATTACATCGACACCGACAGAATGGGCCATCGAACATCACGCCATGTGCTCAGGGGACGTGGAATCAGATCGGGAAATGTGGACAAGCAAATACTCACTCCTCAGTCGACATTTGTCGCAAACCTTGGGAGGCTGGACAGGTCTATTCGAAGACCCAGACGTGGTGGCATTGGAACTTGAGGAAGGGCGAGGAGGGCTCTTTCTGGTGCTTGTGCCTGGTTCAGTCTTTAGGCGGACTATTCTTGCCTCGGGGCTGGAGCTTCCTCTCTGGTCCTCTTGGTGTGACAGATCCATAAGCTGTGGTGGGTATGGTGGTGGTGTGATGTGTGGGTTGTATGGACACTGAATGTCGATGCGTTTGATAGGATGAATAGGCAAGCAAGATGTGTTCTTGGGCGAGATGGCGTGCATTGATAACTGCGCCGAAAAGACTACTGACGCAACCCAAAATTGCCAAGTTGCCTCGACGTCTTTCATGTGCTTCCATCCACACGGACATCATGTTATTGTCTCTACCCAGTGAGGTGTCAGTGGCATGCCCTACTTGCTCTCCACCCACTACGCCTTTCGTTTACCCCGGAAGAGCGGAACGGACGGGATCCCATTCTCAGGGCAGAGTGAGGCCACCACCAAATGCAGCCTGGGTGGGTATTTGCGGACATGGCAATGAAGCTATTGCAGGGCTGAGGTGGAGCCCACGAGATCCATCGTTGGCCAGAGGTTCTGATGTCCATCCCTCGCCCTACTATTGGTGCTCATCATAGCTGGTAAGCGGAAGTGGGAGTGGAGGGGTGTGGAGGGTAGGTACCGACGATGTCCGTCATTTTTCTTCTTTTGACACAGCGCCAAAGTCTACGGAGTCCGAAGACTGGCATGGTTCGAGAGCGAGGGAAAGAAGCGCGCGGACCAATCGAGACCACGGCCGGGTATAGCAGCCGGTGTTGTCCAGTCCAGTGTCGCTGTGGATTCGAGGACTCCATGATTCCGCAAAGGGAAGATGATGGAAAGGAAGAGTGGAAGGACGGGGGTTTGATTGATGATGAAATCACGTAAAGAGCAAGGGTGGATGGTGGTGACTGACCAGGTCACGGTCTAGTCATGGTGGTCTGGACATGGTGGTCTGGACATGGCCTGTTTAGTGGAATGAATGGATGAGAAATGGAATCTCGAGACGGATCCAGATCATCCAGCTAAGGTACGGCCTCGACTCCTCGAGATTTCAGTTGTCAGTTCGTTCAGGTTGTCAGAGGGGAAGAGAGAAAGAGGAAAAGCTTGCAAGACTGGAATGGGATACGAACAGAGACAGGAAGTGACAGAAAGAGCACATGATGGACCCTTCCCACATTTGTCCCGTTGTCTCATTCAGTTCGCAGGCAGTCTTGTCGCAGGAAGGTGCGAAATGCTCCGCAGACCTTGTTGTCCCCTCACTGGTTCAATTGACCAATCAGATGACCGAGTCACACGATATGACGGATGCCCAGACTTGCAAACGACCACAAACCCTCGCAACCCGTCAAACGACTGCACGCGCGGCGGGAAAGAGCGGGAGAGGGACAATCTCACGTTGTGCTTGAAAGGGAAAGTGGCATGAGCGAGTTGCGACAGGTTTGGGCAAGTGCCTGGCCGATCAACCAGGGAAATCGAGCTTGCCCCTGCGGACCATCCCCTGAAACCACTATAAGTACCTTGTAATTACCCTGTAACTGAACCCACTGAAATGGCACTCTGGTGGATGAGGGCGAGCTCCTAACCCTTGTCGTCAAAATAAGGTTTTGCGGACTCGTCTAGCAATTCTAGGCCTAATGCCCGCTGACGACAGCTGTCTCGGTGGTGTTTTGGCAGTGTCATGGTACCTATTGTATCTTTTTCGTTCTCTCATTTCTTTCTCGCTCTCCCAACACACTCACGACACCCACCGCCCATCTCCTGTTGATCTTCGCTTCCGACAAACAGGTCCTTTCATAGCGATCCGCGGCCAATCGGAAACGGCCCGCGCGTCTTACAGCCTCGTGTCAGGGTGGTACCTGTTCTGCAATCTCGACACCGTCTTTCTGCTCTTCACCATCATTTCCCCTTTGCCATGACGCAACATGACATTATAACGACAGTCGTCCTCTCTCCCGTCGAGCTCAAACCTTTCCCACCGCACTTTTGTCTTTTTGTCTCTGTTTCAATCCCACGTTCGCCAAGATTGTCCATTTTGATTTACGTCAGCGAGGAGACTCTGGATCTTGTCCTCACTGAACCCTACATGCGTCATTGCCAGACTCTCAAGAAAGAAAAGAGATGGGATTCAGAATGCGACATGAAAGCGGAGGGTTAATGTCGCATTACCGGTATTTCCGAGAGCCACGGCGCTGCTGTTTCCACACGACAATGACATACCCCCTCCTCTTCGTTACCGGTTGCTTGTCACTGACAAGTGATCTCAATACCGGCATATCAAGTACTACCCATACAACACAACACCTACCAGTACCACCACGGTGATGATTGACGGACAGGAACCGGAAAATCTGTACGACGCTCCCAGCTGATGGCCGACCAAACCGACAAGCCACCGACACGGCACCGACAACTACGCTACTCATGCAAGATCTCTTGTTCATCTTGTTCATCATCTGTCCAGGTTCCCGTTCTTCCAGAGGGGATCTCCTTCGTATATCCTGTATTGCACACTATACCAAGGAACAACCAAGCAACCAAGACGAACATCTCATGCAGGCAGCCCTGCCCAGAGCTCAAACACAAGGTGTGTAAGCATGGTTCTTGGGTGTCAGGATGGGATAGAGTGGTGTCGATCACGTCTGCACTTCACCCCAATCCACTTCGCTTTCCAATTTTTACATCTTTTTCTTTCCTTCTTCCTTTTTGCTTGCACAAAGGTATACATTCATTTGCACAAACTGTCCAAGCTGCAGTTGCTGGATTTCCGGATGTCTGTCGAGCCGTTGAAACTATTGAACGTTATGGAAAGCCACCAGCGGTCCATCAATAATGTTGTGTATCACGACCGGAGGCGTCTCCGATTCACTTACACACCTTTTTCTTTTCACTACAACCTTTTCTTGGCTCATTTAATTTCACCTGACCTCCCCTTACCTTATCTTACCATGGAAAAGGAAAGTCCCGCGCGAGAAATCACGACAAGCCTCTCGCCACAGTGGGAAAACAGCATACATTTTCCACAAGCCCACCCACACCCCCTACCCTTCCTTCTTCTCGCTGTCTCACCTGTATCTCGGGATTTACGGTGGGCATAATCCGGGGGACCGGAAAGCATGTGGGTGAAGTCGGATGGCAAGGCTAGCCGACTTACTCGCGAGGCGTCTCAGCTAGGTCTAGCTTCAAGTTTTCTAGCTAGGCACAGCGGGTCCGGAATTTGCTTCCTTGATATCACGTCCCAATGTCTCGGTATCACTATCCCACATGACGACCAAAGTGACACCCGTACTCTACCTAACTGGGAGAGTTGGGCATCGGAACGGCGGGAGAGTGTGGGTTAACCAGCTCTCTAGTGTAGTGTACCTGGGGTGAAATCTCTCACCTAGGTCTAGCTCGACTACTCTGGCGGGTCCCGGAATCATCTTCCACGATAACGCGAGCTCGGCGAGCACGCGGTTCCAAGGTCTCGGTATCACACGACAGGGTAAGGGACAAAGACGCCTGGAGTCGACCTGTTCGTCGGCCCGGTTGGTAATGGGTCCTCTCGAGGGTGGCACATCCCAGGTGGACACGCGAGGCTAGGAATTCCGGGAATGCTTCCCCCGTCCCCATGAAGTGGGAATAATGCGATCATACGATCATACCACGAGGGCGGTTCCCAGATCTCGGGGTGCCGATATTATGCGAACTGGACCCTCTGGTATCGAGCCAGCATGATGCTACGCGGAATTGATCCGTTGTTCGTGACAGACATATCAAATATGCGAGTAAAACAACTACAGAAGCTGATCATCATCATAGCCACGAGGAAGTAAATCATCGTCAACACGGGCAACAACAATACAAAACGAGTCCAAGACGGTATTTCGCGACACAACCGTTTCTCGTTGTGTTGAAATCCTTCCTTACTGTGAGACATCATTGTTATCAGAGCTCTGAGAAACAGACTGACGAAAAGTCGTCATCGAACCAGTTCTAAAACATGAGACATCTGAGATATCATGACAATAACGGGGTATGACATGAAACTAGCCACGGTAAAGCTCGAAAGGATTTCCAAGTTTACAGCTTCAACTTCAAGACACAGTCGGTGCGAGGTGGGAGGAATGAGACAGGCGCGCTCGCACGTCTCAGGAGAAAAAGCAAAGAAAGAAGAGATCCGACATGGTGACGAAGAACTACACACGCGAGCGAAGGACAAAAATGGAAGTAGAAATAAGGCATGAGTGATAACCGCAAAGAATTTGATGGCAAGCGAAGAGTCGTTACATCATCCATCCATCCATCCGTTCTTCACTGCATGCATTATAGTTCTCTATTCAGCAGCAGTATCTTTCCACGAAGCGATACTCGCCATTTCTCCCAATAGTATTGTCTCCCCCATATCCATCTCACACTCGCTCTTCCTTTCCAGGCTTACCTATATCTTCCTGTCAAGTCATGTCGTGTCTACACTAGTCCACCTGTCTGTCTAGTTCTACATGTTCACTTACCTCGCCTTGCGCTCGCTCTTTTCTTGCCCGCCCGCCCGCCTGCCTTATTCTCGCTCGCACTTATAAGGCGAGCTTGGCGAACGTCGCGAATCTTTAACCTACTGGAGCTCTCTTCCCCGTTCCTATATACACTTGCCGCCTAGTCCTAATGCAAGTGGATAGGTATGTCAGTTAGCTTCCAAGATATTGCTAGAGAGAGATGCCTCTAGTGATAAAGCTACAGAGAGAGAGAGAGAGAGAGAGAGAGAGAGACGAGAGAGGTTGTCAAGACGCTGTAACGCCTGCTTCAGAGAACGAAGAAGCCTGTCCTGGCAAGGAAAAAAACTACCTTAAAAAAGATATCTGCGGCAGGCGGCAGCTATTCCCTTTTCAACCGCTCTATCTCCCCATTTCCCCATTTCCACATGCTACATATTCCTTGCCCGTTTGCTCAAGTAGTAAGGTAGTAAGGTAGTAAGGTAGTAAGGTACCCTTTCCCTCTGACCCGACCCGGGACTCTTCTCCACCGTACTGTTCGAACGGCACCGAATCTCGCTCGGAATGGCTCCGCTATCTCTCCAGAAAAATGTGGAGAGATGGTGGGTGAGTAGGTCGCAGTTGGAAGCGGAAGGGGCAAGATGTAAGCGTTGCTTTGAAGAGAAAGTGACACTTTGTTCTGGCATTAGATAAAAAGGTTAAAAAAAAGGGACAAAAAAAAAGGGACAAAAAAAAGGACAAAAAAAAGGGGTACTTGGCAGAACCTTGCGAAGGTATCTTCAGACGAATGAATGTGCACTATATGCAGAGCGGATGGGTTCCTGCTAGGAGCCGGACAAGGAACATACCTCAGCAAGAAAGAGTGTGCGTGTGGAGTTGTAAGGCGGGAGAGAACTAACTCCGCTTGAAGCCTAGAAAGCCTTCTTCTTCGGCTCGCGAGATTCTACACTACCGCGAAAGGCAAAGCGCGGATTGTGGACATGTGAGATATACTAGGTACTTGTAGAACCTGGGAAAGGGGAAACGTGAGGTCGGAGAGAGACCGTTGAGCCTCGTTCGATTACCTCATGTCTGTGTTCTATCAGAGTACCAACCTGGAAGGCAACAGTCACGTACCTGGTCCAAATCAAAAGAACGAGGCGTTGATATGCTACCGGGTGGCCATACTGTCCAAAACAGAATTTGTATAATCTATAAACGAGGCTGTTTTAATCATGATGGCAAACAAAGTTTTTTGCGAATTCCTCTCTTTGAAGTAACACTTTTGCCTCTTGACGCTCATTTCTCCTCTCCTATCGTATATGAACTGCCTCCTTCTCTTTTTTTTTCTTTCTTTTTTCAAATAATCAGAGCTCATCCCTAAAATACTCCTCCTTACTCCCCTCCTCGGCATTCCCACTTCCACTTCCCTCCTTTTTCCCCTCGCCATCTTCTCCCTCCTCTTCTCCTTCTTCCCCGTACCAATAACCCCCCTCCGTACCCTCTGTTACCTCCGCCGGAACCCCCACTCCTCCACCCTCCCCCTCAACCAAGTCCTCCTCATCAACATCCGCATAAAACTCCCACACCATCTCCCCACCGCTCTCCCTCTCGTTATCCAAATCCCTATCCGGATCCAGTCCCGCAGCTCTGATCTCCTCCCTTATAGCGTCAAGCGTCTGCTGATCCAACCCCAACTTATCGATGTCCCGCTCGGAAATCCTCATCTTTTTCATTTCTTTCTTCTTGCCTTGGCCCTTCCCTGCTCCTGATTCTCTTGTTCCCTTGCCAGCCCCTTGCTTGTTCATTTTCTCGCCATAGTGACCAAAGACGTCTGCTTTGAAGGCCGCTTTGGTCAGTGCTTCGAGGAGGTTCCCTTGCTGTTCTTCCTCACGTTGTTTCTGGAGGTGGCGCGGGAGAGGGAGGACGTGCGTCGAGGGGATGATGCGGCGTCCGCCGATGGGGATGCCGGCTATTGTTAGGCCTTGGTAGGATGCCAACTTTTCGGCTGATCCCTGTTTTTGGGTTTGATCTTGAGCAGTGGCGGCGGCTGCTGCTGCTGCTGCTGCTGCTGCTGAAGAGTCGATTGTGTTCTTCCTCCGCTGGTTGAATGATATCACTTCCTCTTCAGAGCTGATAACCTGCTGGCAAGTAATCAGGTGCGCCTTGGTTTCTTTGGGTGGAAGGAACGCAACGTCGGCGCAGAGTCGCGGGGTGTGGATGACCATTAGATAGGCGCAGGTGGTGACTTCCTTGATCCAACCGATTCTGTCGCTTGAGAGGGCTGGGTTGCAGTGGTACTGAATCTCGATGGTGCGCGGACGGCCTGTAAGATCGCAAATGGTGCCCCCGTCTAGTCGCTGGACGAGGTAGCGCTGGTCGTCTTTCGCCTGGAGCTCGGTATTAGGGGGAGGCGATAGCTGCTTCTGTTCGGTATTGGGTACTTCGATCTGCTTTCCCTTTTGACTGGACAGCGATGACGGCGCCAATGATGTTCCCAGAACGTACTCCTGGCTGTTCTTTTCACGCAACGGAGGACCGCCTTTGGGGTTCGGAACGGCATGGTATTGAACGATGGACTTGCCGTAGCAGTATTGGTAGCTCCACCAGCCGCTAACAAATTGAAGACATCGTTTTCTAGGCCGCGCATCAGTTCCCATCCCTTGTTGTAAGCGCGCGCTACTTCGCGGGCTTCTTCGGCTTTGGCGAGCTCGGTCGCGGTTTTGTTGAGAGCTGGCGGCGGGGCGATGATGGGGATCGAGCAGAGGTAGCGCATGGGCGGGTGGGCGATAAGCTCGTATGTCTCTCTAAGCTGCGAGGAGCCATCTGCGGTATCGTCGCCGGTGATATCGGAGTCGGCATTTGCGGTCGCGGATTCGCGAATCTCGCTCGTCAGATCAGTCTGTGTTGTCGAGCCATGGTTCGCGCCGTCGCTGGCGGGGGTCGGTTTGGGTGCCTTGTTGGCTGCTTCGAGCAGGGCAAAGGCGTCGGCCTCGGAGATATAGCTGTCGGAAAAGATTACTTCAAACTGGGCAGATGGGTTATTAACGTCAGCATTACTTCTTGGGAGGAGGCTGGTCCACAGGTAGGTAAAGGCTGGCTAAGACACACCTGAGGATGTGCCAGCAGATCTTGGTGGATGCTGAAGCTGGGCTGTCGAGCATTACCAAACGGCAGCGAGCTCAGAGCTAGGAGAGCTAGACTTGGACGGCGCATGATGCCGCTGATGATGAATGTGCCCTCACATGTACAATTAGTTGGGAGAAGAGGTCAGGAATTCGGAGATCCGAATCCTTTGATTAGTGTTGGTCGCCGTTGTAAGATGGAAGGAAGGAGAAGCTCCCGCCGCCGTCGCATCGTCAGTCGCCAATCGCCAATGGCCAGCTATGTCTTTGATAAGGTGTCCTTATCGTTGCCGAATCGCGCACCGCCTGCCGCCATTATGTCATGTTACGGGGCCTGTTAGTGTTAGTGCTGGCGGGTTGAGCTAGCATTTTCCCGCCTAGAAATAGCGATGGGATGTTAGTGTCTCATCCGCGCGCAACACCACACCCTGTTACCGCATGGCGGCCTCTAACTACATCGCACCACAAGCTCTTCCTCCAAATGTCAACCTCTGAATAACTTCATCCCATTGTTGATCAAGATGGAGAACATCAGTTGCCTCCAAAGACCCGTTTCAAGCAGAACCGCGTTCAAACCCCGCCAGAACCCGGCACCGAGCCCCGTAACGACCGGGGAGCCCGTTTAGCCCGCTCGGCCCGTCCAGCACCTCGATTCACCCCATATTTTCACCGGTCTTCCAAGTTCAGTCCGTGCCTCGTCTCGTAGGTCCCGACCTCAGCTGAACCATCCGCCATCCGCGATCTCGATCCGCACCTTCGCTAATATGTCTCGGGACGGAATAGGCCCCCTCGCTTTTTTCCCCACGTTATGAAAGTGCCCAGGTCCGATGGACATTTCTGTAACTCCGAGCTCCAAGGACCCCTATCCATGTCTTTTCAATTTTTAAGTCTAGGGGGTATTGAGATTATTGACTGTCTCCCTGTTCGAGCTGGGAGAACCGTCTTGATGGATATTGCACACCATGGTCGCAAGTTGCAAAGAAGCAAAGAAGCAAAAAACACCAAGCCACATGATACCATAGCCCTCTGTCTCAGTCTCATGAAGTCCCCGGAGTTCTTTCTCTACCTATGCTGACTTGCTGTTACAGTCTCTCGCAACAGAATTCTTCCTCATCATTCAAGGTGACGAAGTTGATGTCAATAGTCAAGTCATCCCACCACCACCACCCACCTCCTCTGGCCTCCATCTCCTCTCATGATTAATCAAGAATGCGACGCAATATGCAATATGCAATCCTCCTTCGAACTAAGTGTCGCTATCCGAGACATCTCGCGTCAGTCACATCTGGCTGGGATTGGAACAATCTTGTCTTTTTTTTTTTTTTTTTTCATTCAAACAAGCGTTCGGACACGGCAAGCTTCCAAATCGCGGAGTGATCTGGGATCTGGCGTCTGATGATGCTCTTCAAATATTGATGGGACTCTGGGGTTGGATGGTTGGTGATGAACGGGTAGCCGCATTGGATGGCGGGCTGTGAACATCACTTACCCCAGCATCATGGCTAGAGTAGTCGAGTGGGTAGTGATGGTGGTGGACGGATGGTTGCTGGTGATCAGATGGTTTTGATGTCAGTTCCAACGAATTTCAATTTGGACGTGCAAGATCCGGTGCTCTCGACCGAAAGGAAGACTAGACCGCCGGGTTTTCATTTCCTTCAGTTGCCTCCATCGTTGCTGGGCACCAGGGGCAACTAAGCTACTAAGGTAGGTCTAGGCAGTCAGTGATATGGGAACTTGGGAAGCACGATGATGTTGATCGTAGATCTTGTGCCACCATTTGTGACTGGAAGTTGACATCTCTCGGTAAGGTAGCCCACATCCGCACCCTGTTTTTTTTTGTTAACAATAATAAGGTGATGATAGTTGGTGGAAGCTTATTCTCTCCTGCATTGAATGCTCTTACAAAGGACGATTGGCAAACACACCATGATCTTGACCAAATATCGTGTTACATGCATGGTTCCTTGAGTTGTAGAATAGAACTTCTGTAAACTCAATGTCCCGTATCATGATCCCGCCTTTCCACGTCCTGGACCCCATGCCTGTTTATCTTTATGTACTTCTCTGAACGGTAACTGGCCCTGGAACTGCAAGAAGTTATTGTTCTTGAAGAAGAAGAGCAAGGTTACCATAATACACAATGATTTTGTTGATGTTAATATCTAACTTCCACTTTGTACAATATCTTGCACATGGACGGTGTGGTGTAACCTCTCTCGTGTCGACTTTCCCTTGGAAATTCTTTTCTCTCTATTCCGGGCGGTAACGGTTTGATTCGTTGCAAAGTCATGATTCTATGTTCCCCATGGTCAGATGGTCAGCTATCTGTCGAGATGTCTTCATCATACTCTAGCAAACAATTGGGATAAGGCCCCATCTGCAACTCCGATGAGTTGACGGGCACCAACTTTCCGTGTCCTAGGTAAAAGCAGCCGGGGTTCAGGGTCGTCATTATCATAAGATTATCAATGCTCAAGTAACACTGCACCGTGAACTCTTGCAGTGCAGTTACGCAGTATCTCTCATAGGACACCCCAACTGCGTCAACAAATCCTGAAGATCGCTCATGCAGTGGAACTACCTTAACCTAGGTACATACCCATTAGAACACCTTGGCTTCTTCTTCTGGTCTTGTGTATTGGCTCTTTTCTCCGTCTTGCGAGTGCGTTACTAGGTAACCATATCATACCTTATCATGTGGGCAATGGTATGATATTACCTCCTTCTCCATATCAGAAGCGGCAGAGGCTCCATTGACAAATAACGGACGGCAGCAAGGACGGCGGCAGATAAAAGCAACGACAACGGTACAGTAGTCCCCGTCTGAATAGCCTCGTGATATTGGCTGGAACGATGAGCTTCCGTCCCGCTCTGCATTCAAAACTGCCTTGCAGAGTCGCACTCCGAGTCCGCCCCTTCAACCCCGTACATACTCCGGACGCAGTGCCTCTTTGGTGATCTGTTTGGCTGATAGTGTTTCTGGTTCTCAACTCTTTGACCTGTAACGTAATCATCGTAGTCCGTTCTGTAACCTAGTGAAGATATTGCTTCCCTGGGCATGCCGTCCTCTGCCGTCGCCATCGTAATTCTCGCCGCCGTTTGGTCAGAAACCAGCTTGAACATGTTCTAGACTCTAGATGTGGCATATTGTGAAGTTCCGCAAGCCTCTCGCGAGTCCCTGTTCCTTTGCTTGAGCCGAAGGAAGTTGGGGATATTCCCTCCAACAGCAGGCCGGATGATTATCAGCCCTCCACCACCCAATCGCCATGTAATGCTAGTAGTTAGTGCGTTGCTAAAGTCAACCACTCAGCGAGTGAACAAGGCGTTTTGGTGCTTTATTGGCTGCCGGCTAGAAATATTCAACCATTCAGTCTGGACGATTATAATAAGTAATCCCCAGTGGGTAGGTACACTAGTAGGTATGATTCTGGAGTTCAAGGTTCCGAGGTGTGGATGTGACCAAGAGAGCGTGAGATGGTATGGCGTGCCTTTTCCCGTTATGCCCCTGTGGTTTCATGGTCTTATTCAGCTAGAGGCAGTGTAAGAAGGAACGAATGAAACCCAAATCGACACTTGCACAAGGTGATCTTTGGGCTCTCTGGGCGATGTGCTAGGAATGGATAGCCAAGCGTCCGAAAATGCCCGGAGCGATGAGATTCAGGAGTTCTGACCCATTTTGAATAAATCCCTAGGAAGTAAGATATGGAAGAGGTAATTTGGCTGCTTTGATTATGATGTGGAGGTTGACGGCTCGTTTCATTCAGCTTTCTCCCCACCCCGGCGCCCCGGTCGCGGGTCGGATGTCACCACGGAGGTTCCTCCGTATGGGACACCGTATGGGCCCCCGGCATGCCACGACGGAACCAAGCCGAGCACGGTCTGTGTGGCCGATTTCCGAGATTGGGGGTCATAGCGGTAAACCGGCAAGGAACGGATATGCGGATGCGGATGCAGGCACGGGCGGGGTTTCGACTTTCAACGTCCTGAACGGGACCGGGATTGACGGGTCTGATGGAGCGCCTGATGGGTCCCCGAACTCGTGGAGCCTGAATGGGAGTTGGGAGTTGGGGTGGAGCCCGGGAGCCGAGGAATGTTCTTGGCTTAAGACTTGAACGACATCCACTGTCTTCGTTTGGTTCTGTTTACCTGGAAAAAGAATGCCTTTCGTGAGTAGAGACAGAGGCAGCGTTTCTGAAGAGAAGGGGCATGACAGCATAGGAGAATCCAGAATGATGCGGTAACAGGAGTTTCGAGATCCTGCCAAATCAATAAGACAGCTCGCTTCCTCGGTGAAGATTTCGGTCCATAGACTTATGTTTCCTCTGTCCTTCACCAGTCATTGCTTTCTGATCACAACACCGCCAACCTCACAGCCTCGATGCCTCATAGGATCCTCAGAAGTCAGGAAAAGGCGTCTATTCCTCTTGAGAAGTCTGAGCGGAGCCATTGCCCAAACAATCCGGCCCTACACACAGAGCCCTGGAAGTCTCAGAAGAATGTTCCATCAAACGACTCCAATGGCTCTGCTTCTCCGGTTCCCCTTGCTTCTTGCAGCTCGGCAGGAGTCTAAAGCAAGGGGAAAGAGGCAGCAGAGGTTCGAGAAGGACGAATGAAGTGCGGAAAAGTGGAGGAGGGCCATCTGGCGTCTGCGACATTTGAGAGATTCTGACCAGCAATGGATGGGCGGGCACCGCTGGCATGCCTGGCGCCCAGGGTCCGGGGAAAGATGGAGACATCTGATGCGAGTAATCAGGGGGAAAACGGCATGTCGAGCAGATAGCAGAAGCACAGCATAGTGTGCCTGCCTGAGAAAAGGGTATGTGAGGTGAGGTGAGGCTATCCGACTGCCAGCATGCGATGGCCATCGGGTGGCAGTCTCAAGATGTGCCCTACAGGGGAGGTGACGACAGAAGACCGACTCGACTGGCCCGATTCATAGACTGAATGACGCACAGGCCATTTGACGTGTAAGTCGTCGTCTGTCGTCGTCGAATGCCGGCAAAGTGAAGTTTGACCTTTGACGTACGTATGTAGGTACGAATTCAAATACGGGGTGTGAGGGGGGGCAGCTTGGAGCCCAAGATTCCTCTTTCCGAGGATACCGTCGCGGAACCAGAAACCAGAGGAGGGGTGTGTTGTGAGTTGTCAAAGTTGTCTGAGATAGTGAGGAGGGAGTTCTTTGTCAGCACAAACCCAAGGGCTTTTGATTACCCGAGAAGATCTCAAAAAGGAGATGACGACTGTGAAGCTGTCAAGCCGTGAAAGCGTAGCAAGATTGACAGGAACATTGCTTGATACAACATGTGAGAGAGAGAAAGTAACCACAGAGACGTCGAGGTGAAGACCCACGCCGTCCGGGAAATGACGGTGCTCTCGAGATGATGTCGTCCAGTGGAAGGGGTCCGCCTCACTTTTGGGCAGATTAAGGCCCAATCAAGCGCAGTGTGATGGGGCTCCAAGCCCAGTGGGATTCGCTGGCAGCAAGGCAACAAGGGGAGACAAATACCCCTTGTACAGTGTAATCAGCAATGACACCACTGCCCACTCTCTGGATGCTCTCTTTCACACTGATGAGTGAATGCAATGGGTGATGTTGCTGTCCAGCAAATGGTTGATGGCCACACTTGACCGTGGCCCTGCTGCTCTTGCAGGAGAGGATTGAAACCGATGTAAGGGGAGAAGGAGGCCATTCCCCGGAAGGCTTACACCTCTTCTAGTGCCCTCTTCTTGTGACCGAACGCATCATTGCCGACCGACTGGAGTAGGTAGTGGTATTTGATAATGATGCTTTCAATGCCGAACAATGCCTCCCCTCAAGGTGAAGCTGTAGGGGAGGTCTGACAACTGGCAAAGTGGATGGGCGTAACCGTCCCGGTGGTGTCGACTAGTCCAGGGCAGGCTCTTTAGCAATGTAACCTTGATGCAATTTTGACCCGGCAGGCAGGGAATTGAAGGAAGATCCAGAGATCCAACCGATCCCGGAATTTGGAGCCGTGATTGGACTTTCTTTTGTCATATGGCCGGGGTCCTAGAGAGGCACTTTTTGGTGCTGACCGAATTTCTCGACAGCGCCCGGAGATATTGTCCCCCAGATGGTCTTCTATCATTTCGTCTTACTCTGTCCCTAACGTCCCCGGACAATGCCCCCCCAGACAAGCTCCCTTGATCTTCTGTAGGCAAAACCCATGATACTGATAGTCCCCTCCCTAGTGGGCGGAAGCAGCCATGCCACGAGCCGGTCAAGACTACCTGATCAATGACTGTCGGTCTGGAAAAGTGGAAGATCTGAAAGGAGAAAGATGGCAAATTGAAAATAGCCATGGAATTCTCGAGGCGATCTGGGAAGAAAAAGCCATGACGAGGGTGGGCATACTGACGAGATTGGAGGCTTTCCATTCTGCTTACACCTGAAGTGAGAGAAGTGAGAAGGGTTAGGTACGGTGAGCTGGATGCTGGAAACGGTAACCGAAGAGCGAGCACTAACAATTTCCCACCTTCCTGTGGGCTGCCACTGTTAACATCCGGCAACAGTTGGTCAGGTAGTGCTCACTGCCCCTCTGAATGCACATGGAAGTTTGCAGCGGAACACGGGCCTCTGTGCCCCTCCATCAAAAGCACAGACCACTTTCAGTTACCAGGCGCTTCTGCTCTGTCTGCCTGGGCTGCCGGTGCTGTGCAACACCAAAGTTCAGTTGAGGGGGACAGCTCACGAAGGGCTCATATGATGCGCCGCAGCAGAAAGAAGGGAGGCGCTGCCAGCAAAGAGGAGAAGCAAAGATGCAGGATCGTACTCGGAGAATCGGATTAATACGGAAAGAGTAAAGAATTTTCACCATTCAGGTCGCAATGGAAGAGACTGGCCCTGGGAAGGAGTCACGATCTCTTCCAATTCCAACTTCCAATTCCAACTTCCCCCACACAGCAATACGGTACATGCCAACCCTCAACACCACCACTTCCACGCCAGCTGTACAACACCCTCTTCTTCCCTCGTTACAACTGGCGATGCGACCCGACGGAAGGAATTGGCAACAAGCCACCACCCACACTTGTCTCCCTCCCCGGACTTGTTCCATCTGCACCGCGCACAGCACTTCAATTGTCAATGCATGCACGCACTCAAAAAGAAGCGGCCTACGATGGGTGGTAATTGGTAGAGTGATGGAAAATGGGCCGGCTATCTAGGGCTCCAAGCCGACGCCTTGCCGTCCTCACGCCCACTACAACGACGTCGTCTTCCACCAACGACGCTAGCCAGCGCATTGCCAGCCATGATTGGGTTGGGTAGACACCGGCCAAAGCCAATGACAACCTCGTCTCCAGCACAGCCTGCCTCCACGGCACTACACTACACACTGGAAAACAGCATCTTCATTTTGCTGCTGTCAGGTCACATTGAAAGAGAATGTACATACCTTTTTCTTCCGGTATTCCAGATGCTTTGTAAGTGTCACACACACACACACACAAGAGCACACCAAACAGTACGTACCAAATAATCATGCCTGGCGTGGCCCAGTGGTGGTGCCCCTGGGGGTGGTACCCTATGCTGGAGAACATGGTCAAACAATTATCGTGAACCTGACTGGGCCGTTAGGTACAAGACCACCCACCATCAACTATCGAGCATCAAACCCGCCAGCAAACTAACACTCTCGACTTGGAGGCTCGGCTCTACTCGCGCATACGGAGTCTACAATGCCCCGGAATTGTCGAATCATCCACCCGTACAATCTCGAGTTATCCTCTTGCTTGACCTTGGCCTTACCTTTCCCCTTGGACTAGTTGGAATTTGGCCATACTCCTCCCACGGCTCCCCACGACTTCCCTACCAGGAACTTGGACGTGGGGTATTACCACATTATTCCGGATTGGTATTCCACCAAAATGGAGCCGCTGATCTTCTGCCCGAACCACTCTGAAGCTCAACGCCGGCACATGTTCCCCGTTTGTTGCCTTTTTTGCTTCTAATCTCACGATGCGTCTTACACGTCCATGCACCAACGACTCAGCAATCTTTTGAGGTGGCTGGTCCAAGGCCACGCACGGCAGCAAGCTTGAGCTCGATAAACATCTCGACATCTGGGAACCGATATGGAGCGAGGTAGCGAGGCTGACCACTCCGACGGGGCCATTGAGGTTGCCCGCTACGGCACGCTTCCAGTGCTCCCATGCTAGACCAAGTATGACGATAGAGTCATTAATCGCCAATGATCCCTTGCTGGGCGAACCTCGAGCGCTGCTACAAGTGCTACACAATCTTCTGGCTCTCTGCGGCAGGGCACATCCAACACCGCCAAGTATTTGCACTTTTGCGGCCGTCAACCGTCCTCGCAGTGCCTGCTTGCAGGAGTTGCAGCCGACTGTTCGCTGCTGCCGTATAGACCTTGAGACTCTCCACGGTCGTTCACCGGTAGTAGCAAAGTACCTCGACCAAGTTACACAATGTTGGCAGATCACGTTGGGTCATCTTCATGGAACACACACATGCCCAGCCCAAGCCAGTCAGCCAGCCAGCCCACCATGCCTCCAGGCCTACCAATCCCACCACCAAGGATTCCCGCAAATCGGGGACAAGATCTCTCTCAAAGCACCCATTTAGCGTGCATTCACAGCGTACCACAGCAGCCCTCTCAGAGTTGTCACTGGTCACCCCCAAAAAGAGAGGGCGTCTTCCCCGCTGCCAACCTCGAATCTGACACGCCCAGGCCGCGGCCAAATAATATAGCGTCCCGGAAGACGGTGTCAGTCAGTCCCTGTGCTGGCTTGCAGCTTGCGGGCACACACACGCGGGCATACGCGGGCAGGCAGTATCATTGCATCAAATCTTCCACAAAACGTCGAGAGACATAACCCCCTGTCCCAGAACACCGTTGATCCTCGGGCCAAGTCGTCACCATTCAGCGCAAAGAGCAGGCGTCGGTGTGTGGTGGATATCTTGTCTGCAACTCCTCCCAGAGTGCGGGTGCCACCATCCCAAACGTACCAAATTCATTCTGCTTGACCCATGTACCCATCATTATTCCCTCCACCCCCCAAAGAGTATCCCATCCCACCCTCTTGGCTCTCTGCCCATCTGGGACTGGAACAGAACTGGCACCCGCATATCGACGAGGCCCAAAAATACAATCTACAACGGTACATGCGAGGTGGTACCTGTGTCGTCGTACCTTGTCCTTGTCCCCAACGCCCACCTCCTCCAATCCTCTAGCCGTACAACGGCGTGCACATCAACAAGCCTCGTGGGACTGACTGGATAAATATCGTTGCTTTCCGTCTGTGTGCCTGTCCATTCTCCTCTGAAACACCCACTTTGCCAATTCTCTAGTTTTGTTCAACCGTCACCTCAACAAGAGATCTTCCTATCCATCACGTCCAGGATTCTCATTCAACGCGCCCTAGCACGTCCTAGCAGCACAGCTTCACCCGCCTCATCGGACACCAAATCTATCCAACTCCATCCGATCAAGCAAACTTCCGCTCAAGATCGTCTCCGCCAAGATCGAGGCTATCTGTACTCCTGAAAACCGCATCAGATCGTCCTTTCTCGACGTTGTGCTTGCCGTGCTGGACGACCACGTCTAGTGCCGCAGCATCCATATCCAGCTCATCATGAGCCAACCGAGCTTTGATAGTCTCGAGACCCATCATCTACAAGCGCTACTACACCAGAGTCAAGAGCAAGCTCGCGCTGCTGAGAACCAGGCTCGCGCCATCGAGAATCAGCTCAGAGCTCGATCTTCAGTTCCCACTCCTGCCGGGACAGATTTTGGCACTGTACAGGGCAATTATCGAATCTCATCCTCGTGTTCACCAGCAACCAGCAATGCTCGCTCACGAAGCAACACAATACCCCGCAGTGTGGGAGGTGTCAGCATGGTCCCGACTTTGAGCCTCAACGGCAACCATGCACCGCAACAGCCACTGGTAAGGAAACTCGCTTGCTGTCACCAAACGTTCAGTCCCACTCATCTTCTTGTATAGGAGCAAAGCCGTCCCATGAAACGCTCAAAAACCACCCATCCCACCATGCCGGCGAATGCTGCCGCCACAGTGAGAATGGCGAGGTCTCGTTCAAGCGCATCGGCCCAGCCCGCGTACAGCAGGACGAGTAACCCCTTCGCCGGACCCGGGCCGGTTACCCCGCCCCATCCCCAGCCTGCGCGGAACAGCCTACCAGCTACCCACACCAGTGCCGCGATAATGGAAACAGCCTACAACCTTAACCAACTACATCGGCCCGTCGCTACAAACTTCCTCTACGGGAATCCTAGCTTCCATGCTCAGCTTCCTCAACGGCCCATGCCGATGGGGTCGTTGGCAGAGACAAGCATGGAGATGAGTCCAGCCGACTATATCTCCAGGTTGGACCAGCAGGAAAGGGCCGTGGCCTCCCCTCTACATACGCAGCCCATCGGTATCCCTACAGCCTACCATAACCAGTTCCAATATCCTGACGACTCCGGGAACCCGTCAGTGTGTGGCTCCATGACGTCGGCACCTACTCTCGATACCGTGCCGATGACAAGGTCCAACAGCAATCTGAATGACAATATGTCTAACCAGTTTGCCGAAATGGTTCGGATTGAGTCTCAGCAACTGAATCGTCAGCAAAACCGCCGGGATAGCTATAGTCAACCGCAGCCCATCACTACGTCGCTGCTGGGAAAACGGTCAGCGTCCGATCCTGATTTTCTGGAGGCAGACCTCATTGGGCTTCCAGTCTCGTTCAACAGCCATCTTTACTCTGCGTCGGCACCTGCCAACCCACTTTCCATGAGCAGTCTGCATCCCACGGAAAAAACAGTGCCGCAAACAATGTCCGGGTTTACGCTTGAAGACGACACCGAAGAGGTGGATCAACACCTATCCATGGAGAGGTCGGAATCTAAGGATAGCGACAAGTCAACCCATTCCCAGTCGTTGAAGCTTCGTGCCAAGGAGGCACTCGTCCGTCAGAACGTCAACGCCTCCAAATCCCGACATCTCCAGCCTAAGCCTGCCACAGATACCACTAAAAAGGAATCCTCCGAACCTACTGGCGTAGCTGGCAAGGATGGAAAGGCCGTCATCACTAAGACCAAGTACGAGCGACCTAAGCATCCCAAAGTCAAGTGCCCTCAGTGCAACGAGAACCCTGAAGGCTTCAGGGGCGAGCACGAGTTGCGCCGACACACCGAAGCCAAACACAACATGCTGGTCAAGAAGTGGGTATGCCGTGATCCAGCTCTCGAGGGTATTCCCCATTCGGAGAAGGCCGTCAAGCCTCTTGCGGATTGCAAGCAGTGCTCACAAGGGAAGCAATACGGAGCGTACTACAACGCTGCTGCTCATTTGCGCCGAACACACTTCAAGGTCAAGCAGTCTCGCAAGGGTGCCAACTCCAAAGGTGCCAAGGGTGGCTCTGGCCAGGTCGGTAAAGCTGAAGAGGAGAAGCGTGGTGGGAAAGGTGGCGGCGACTGGCCTCCTATGGCTGAGCTGAAGCGCTGGATGGTCGAGAAGTTAGTCCCCATGGACCAAGAGGGCGCGTTCAACCAAGACGGTGCTGATTCTGACGGCGCTGTTGACCTTGAAGACATGGAGAATGGGCTCTTCGACGCTCAGTACGTTCAGGCTGGGTTCGGGCTTGCGCCTAGGACAGGTGTCTTCGATGTAACTACATTTGCCGGCGTTGGGGGAAGCTTCCAGAACTTCGACGGGTTGAATGCCACCAGCTTCCAAAGCATGAATGGAGAACTGGGTCTACCGGGCTCAGATCTTCTCATGGACGCCGGCATGTATGTGCACCAGCCAATGCAGTCCATGCCTATCGCTTCGGGCTTCGACTTTGGCACGGCTCAAGACGCGCCGCAACAACAACATACCATGCCACCTGCCATGACGAGCATCGACAATCATAATTACACCTCCCCTGTCTCATCGACTGCCACGATTACCCAAGGCGGTCTATCAGCGGAACACCAATTTCTCATGGCACCGGCGATGCAAGCCTCACAGAACGACCTGCCGGACATGTCCTTCGATCTGATGTTTACTGCTGGCGCACAGTGACGCTAAGGATCGTCTATCCGGATTCTTTTCTTCGGCGTCCGGCATCTCCACGTGATATTGTCCTTCATTGATCCTGCACCGAAATCTCGGTAACACATCACTGTCTTTCTTATTCCGATTTACATCTTCAATTCTTCTGCTTCTTTAGCCGGCTTTGTATTTCTTATTTCGCCTTTTCTTGCTTGAGCTTTGGTCGGGGCGTGGTACGCTCTCCTCCATGGTTGCGCAGGTTGTCTCGCTTCCATCGGGATCCTCGCACTCTTGACTCAGACCCTGATCGTCGCACACATGGATCACTGTCGCACGACCTCGAACTCAAACGTTCATCGAATTATGAGCGCAGTTCCCGTCGGCCGAAACAAGGCCTTCAGCCAGCAGCTCATACAACTCGTGCCACGGATTGACATCATGACGACTAGCGCAACACGTCTTATCCTTTGTCGGTCTAGGGTCCGGCGTCAGCATCTCTGTTTCTCGACAAGCTTTTGTTCGTCTCCTTTTCTTCGCCTGTCTCGTCTTTACCACAGCGTTCTTACATCATTATCTTTGGCTTTCGCAGCACAACAAAACACGGCAATAGGGATAGCTCAGTCATTCACACACACGAGGAAGCAAGCATAAACGTTGAGAGGCATGCGTGTACAGGTTGTTTGGGTAGTACAGGAGATTCAGCCCGACGGCGAACGGTTAGCGGTTAGCGGCGGCGTTCCGCAAATGGTGTTTCGGATAAGGGACCATTGAGTCTTGCTTGCGTTTTTGGCTTTATGTGTTTTGGGTAGGCTGTCTTGCATGTATGGATGCATGGGCATTTGGCTTTTCACTTGGTTCTTTTACGACGCGATTACCCCCCTTATGTTCATTGGTCGCTTGTTTATTGATGTGTTGTTCCGGACTTTCGTCAGTCGAGTCGGTCCAACAAAACCTGGTTTGTGTACACAGAGACTTCCCAGGTCTTTTTTTCTTTCTCTTGTTTCTCCTTGGTTCATCATGGTTTGGGCGGCGGTAGATATCGATACCACATCTTTTGGATAGGTCGTGGAATGAAAGAGGAGCAAGAATGGGAAATAGGAGCAGGCAAGAAGGTGGCAGGGCCAGTCTGCCAATATCAAGATACCAGATACCATATCATATCAAAATTTGTGTTCACTAGCTTGGTTGGGGTCAATCTATTTCACACGTCTATTTTCCTCGCAAGGGGCGCAAGAAGAGGCAGCAGCAAGAGGCAGGAATCACGGAGTTTTGGGGACGGACGGTTATGTGGTTGAGCGGAATGGACACTATGGTAAGCTTTTGTACACCAGCAGTCGTCAGCTCGCATTGAAGTGTGTTACTAGACATCAAATCTGAATTTTCAGGATCTAGACTGTGTCGGCAAAGGCATTCAACCCCATCTCAGCGATCCGAACGAGAGCAAGGCGAATGAACAAACTGAAGCATGTGATGACGAGTAAACGTGATCTAGGTGACGAAAGAACACCGCATGAAATTTAGGCATCGCTCTCCTTCGCAGGCGTCTACCCGTCCCCTTCTATGCAAGCAGCCTTCTTCAAGCCACGCTTCACACGCATCGACACCAAGGAGCGGGTAACGGTATGGAGGGAAAGGCACAGCCTATTCGCAGGAAACACTTTGATGGCAATTGGCCGCATGTTCTTGCGAGTTGACTGAATATCGGCTCAGCAACAGCTGTTGAACGGTTGTCAGTCAAATTACCTCCTTCATCCATCATGTAAATCCCATGGTGATGCTTAAACGTAGAAAGGAATTTTGCGTGCGTGGGATGCCTACGCTCATATTAAGCAGTTGGCCGTACGCACCACCAGCAAGCCAGCTCCGAGACTTGATGATATAATAGAATATGATAGCATCAAGTTGGAAGCAGCAAGAAGCCCCCAACACGGACAGAATTAAGAACCGGACATTAGTAACACCAAAGACTTATATACCGGGGTAATTTACCTGAAAATGCTGGAAGAGATTTGGAGCGGGCTGGCCAACGGACGACTGTATGATAGGATAGGTAGGTAGAGACAGCCGTCACACAGCTGTTGAGCTGTAGCCTCAGCTTTCATCACCTGTCTTCGGTTGAACTAGTCGTTGTTGTTGTTGTTGTTGTTGTTGTTGTTGTTGTACACGCAACAGAGAAAGAGACAGGGATGGACAGAGAGACAAAAGAAAGGTTACAGTAAGTCAACTGAAGTTTCGTATATGCCGTATCACCTTAAGGTATTCTAAATACCCATAATTCCCTGTATGGACAACGACAACTCTACGGCAGACCAGTCAGTCCATCTTAAAATTACAGCATTTCCTACCACACACACACCTGGCTGGCAGCTGGTAATAATCTCCCTCGCCTGATACCCACCTTGGCTACATGTACCTCGAACGGCGGAGGAGATGTGTGGCCATGGTAAAAGCTTGAACGGTTACCCAAGATCGGGAAGTATCGGAGCTCTATAAGAACACAACATCTCCCACGTTTGGGCACGACATGAACGGTATGAGCTTACGATCTGGTACAGCGTGGAAACCCGGGGGTGAACAGAGAAGTTTCGTCACGGGATCTTTGGGACTTCTACTGGTACGACGGTTTAGCGCCACGGAGATCACACGTAGGAAGATGTTAATGACCAGTGAGAAGACGAGTGGGAAGACCGCTGGAAGGTATGAAGAAGGTTGATAAACTTGTGAAATAGAAGAAACAAGGGCTTAATGTGCTGGTTTCCACGATGGGTGACTGGTAAGCGTCGCTGACTCTCCAAGAACGGCATAAGAATCCGGCAAACGTCAGAGAGACAGTCAAGCAAGGCCGGCCTAATGCTAGAACGAGAAGTTACCTACTTACCGGATGATTGAATACAGGGGACCGCGTGCACGCACCCATGCTCACCTTTGTAAAGAAAGATGTGTTATGGCTGGTAACCTACGTTCTTCCCACGCTCAAGACCTCGCTGTGTCGGTTTGACGTGCCGGTCCAAGGCAGAAGTGTGTTGACGTCAGGGGCCAGAGACGACGTGGTTTCGTTTAGTTGGGCGTCTCCCATGCGTTGCGATCAGTGCACTTGCAATCCAACCCCATCAGTCGAACATGGTAGGGTATTTTGTCAATGAACCTAGAGAAGACCTGCGCTGCACCTGATGAGCCCATCCATCTCATGCAAGCCCTCTTGTAATTTCATAGCCTATGAATATTCATGAATGCCGCCGCCTGCCCTTTGAAAGGCGCCATGATCTTTATCTGCACCACTATATAAACACAATGGAAACCCATGATCGCTCGTGCTCATCATAACCTTCCTGTTCGCCTGCCCTAGTACCAGATGCCCTGAACCCATCCCCATACGCATTCCCAGCGCCAATCCTTGATGTGATGTCCTGTAAACCATGATGAAATTCATATCCGCTGACCGTTCCTGTGCCTAAACCATTAACCTATCACCAAGCGCCATAGTCCATAACCATACCTCATAATCGATACCCGGTAATCATGTCTCATGGATGTAGACCCGAGGCTTACCCGCGAGCCCGGTTACCACTCCACGGTCCAAGCCCACCAGCCCTCCCTCGCTCCATCCTCCTCCTCGTCCGAATCCGAAAAGACACCCATCGAACTGATATTGTAGACCTTCTCGAACGTGTTTACTGTCAAGTCAATATCCTCTGCCTCCGGACATCTGTCCGGCCCGCATCTATCGATTATCATCGCCTCCAGCCAATCACCCTGCTCAATATCCTCCTGCTGACCAATCCATATTTTCTTTCCGCACAGTGGGTTCCTCCTCCACTGGGGATTATGCTCACTATATGGTAAGGTTCGCGGGTAGACGTTAGAAGCACTTTTGGCAGCCTCATCACGTTTAGCGACCTCGTCCCAGATCTTGTAAGAGATGGCAACGTCCATTACGTCGTTGTCAGAGTTGACGCCGCAGGCACCGGTGCGGTCGGAGGCGGAGTAGTAAGTGAATGTCCCTTGGTAGGCGGTAAGCGGAGGGTCTTTGCCGAACGGTGGCGGGAGGGGCAAGTTGGTGTCGTCGTTGTCGTGTTTCTTGAGTCCAAGTCCCAGCCCCAGTCCCAATCCCAATGCCAGCCCGAGCAGCAGTAGCAGCAGAAGCGGCAGAAGCACAAGAAGACAAAACCGCCTTCTGTTCAACCCAAACGGATACCGCTTCTTAGGCGGTAACAACCTGCGATTGACCCAATTCCTCACCCTCTCCTTCTCCGTCAATCTCGGCGGCGGCGGCGGATTCGGAATACTTCCCAGCGTTGTAACCGTGTGCGTCGGCACTATTCCTCCACTCTCGGCGTGTCGTTCCGGATCCAAGCCCGCAAAACTATTCCTCCCATACCCAAACCCCAAGCTCTTTCTCCATCCCGCACTGTTGACCCCACCATGCTGATGATGATCGTTAGGAGACATGGCCTCCCCGGAGTCACCCTTCTCTCCCATCACCACAGGCGGCGAATCGACCAAGCTGAATAACGAAGGAATGGACCTCGAGCGCGGCTTGTGCTGCTTCTTGACGAAACTGGGCTGTTTCCTAGCTTCAAAGAAAGGAATGGACGAGAGCAAGTTGCGTGTTTGTTGAAGCTTACCGCGCTTGGGCGGATTTCGGGGCGTTTCCCACTCGGGGAGGTAGCGAATTCGTTGCTCGACTTGGTCGCGGGGGTTTGCGATGTATGAGGGTTCTTCTGGTCCTGTTGCTTCTGGGGATGTGTCGAGTGGTGGTAGTGCTGGGAGTGGTCGTGATGGAAGAGTTCGAGAGGAGATGGACGTCGGCGCAGGACTGGGGCTGACTATTCTGAGTCCTGCCGCTGCTTGTCCTTGTCCTGGACGTATGGGAACTGGAGACATTGGGAAGATGGAGGATATGGGAGAGACTGGCTCTGGGTCTGTGGCTGCGTCTGCATCGTCGGCGCGAGAGTAGGTCGGGAAGTCGGGTGGATGTGATTGGAGTGGCGAAGGGAGTGGGATGGGGAGGTCCCTTTCGGACCTGTTTGATGCCATCGTGGGCTGTCGCTGTGGTCGCTCGCTCGCAGAAGAAAGGATGTAAGGCATAAAGATAACGGTTGTTGGTATTGACGCCGCCAGCGACGAAGTGGTCTTGGATAATGATGGTTTGTTCTTCGCGCTCACTGGTCAAAAAAGTGACAATCCCAAAGTGTCTTTTGCTACCTAGAATGATCGTCGGACACGAATCCCATATCGCCTTGTCGTCGTGCCGTGGTGGTGACCTGGTTCCAATAACGACACTTGTTTCGCTGCAGAAAGAAAAGCGGAAGGTGGAAAAGAAAAGTATGCGAAGTGTGCAAAGGGGGAAACGGGAAACGAGAAAGAAGGGAAGGGAAGAACAGAAACGTCGAGACAAGCAAGCCGTGTGTGTGTGTGTTCCCGTCAGACTGTCACAACCTGGACAGACAGACCCAGATCTCACATTCAGCAGCAAGCAGCGCAGAAACGAACTGAATGAACCTGGGCTGGGGACGACGCACAGCAACAATGGAATGGTTTCACAAGGTACCTAAGCCATTCATTGCCAGTCAGTGATCCAGTCGTATCAGTCGTGCTCCTGCCAGTCGTGCCAGTCACGGCAGTGGTGATGGAATGCGCCTTCCTCGCCCATCCATCATTCCTGGGGAGGCCTGGAAGGGAACCCCGCCTTCCATCCATCCATCTTTTTCGTTTCGTTTCATCGCTTCGTTGTGCTTTTTGCCATCGTGCATCCTGGTCCGATCGGCATGATGCGAAATGCCAAAGTCGATAAAGGTACCGTTTCATTCGGAACCTGGTGACAACTTCATCAGTCAGGTCCCGTCACTGTTGTCCGTCAATGTCGTCGAAACAAGTCTCGCCCGCCCAGGCAGCCCAGGCACACAGGCACAGGGAGAGAAAAGGTGATAAGGAAATCCCCGCCAACCACCCCGCCCTTTAACCACGCTGCTGCCCACGCGCCCGCAAATGCCAGTCGGTGGCAGGGCAGTGCCGGACAGGGCAGCAGCAGCAGCGCCGCAGTTGCGCAGGTACAGAGGCGTGGAGGCCGCTAGAACGTGACGCTAGAACGTGACGCTACAGCAGGTACCGCGAGCGAATAGCGGGGAATGCAGACCTGAAACATGAAACGACGGAGGACGGCGAATCGGGGCGCGTGCGCTCGCTGCCCTGCCAATGCTTGGTCGGGTCGGCCGGCATTTCCGCTCCACTTTACACTTTGCACTATTGCCGGTGGTGTGTAAGTCAGCTTCGCTACAAGAAAGCCTGAGCTAAGCCCGACCTCTGAGGTCTCCTCCCTCATCAACTTCCAACTCTAGCTGCTGCGACCACCCGTCGTACCTGAGTTGTGCAACCTGTACAACCCGATCATCAAGATTCTGGAACATGTACGATGCTAAAGGCCAGATTAACCTTTTGCTTACGTGCAGGACAACCCTGAGTGCCACACCGTTCTTTTTATCCCATGCAGTTGTGCGCTTGAGGTTTTGAGTTTGAACGATGCAAGTACCTACATGAACTTTGGTGACGTGGGACTCGTTCGCAGGTCACAGATGCTAGGTTTGAAGAGTAGAAGCGGGAAAGGGAAAGGCAAACCAAACTAAACCAAACCAAACCACAAACAATGCTCAAGCAGTCAAGCCCAGGGCAGGGAAGACTTCACACATGTCAAACCGGATACCAGCGAAAAAAAATAAAAAAATTGGGTAAAGAGGAAAACATGACAAAAGTCGAGGCAAATCCAATGGCTTTAGGCACGACTCTGATAAACTTGCGAACGTGTTTTTGCAGTGCGTCCGCCGTATACCCCGTGAGTCATGATGATGTATTTTGTGTTGGAAACCGTGGTGCTTTGGAGGAGGTTGACGCCTGGAATGGTCGGCTTTGGTGAAACCCCCTGTTCTTGTGCTAGCATGTGTCCGCCCCCGTAGCCATCGCCGTCGCCGATCTCCGATTTCTTTTCTCCGTTGTCTGGGTCCGCACCCGAATTGCTTGTACCTGAAACGGTCTTCTCGGTACCTATACAGGAGCAAGGGAAGATGACGGTCCTTTTGAATAGTTTTCATTCGACTTTATCCGGGGGTAAACATCACTCACAGATAACAACGGACGTAAACAACTCCGAATGGAAGAAGACGATCAAGCGCAAATGCAAGCAAACAATCAGTGCATCAACCTGTTATGTTTCTAATTGGATACGTACGTGATGTCCAAGGCCTGGCGGCCGTCATTATTCTTTCTACTTTGATATCAACCATCGATAGTACCACCATGCATCAAGTCCGTAAGTAAAGTCCTATCCAGACTTTCTTTGCTTGCTTGCTAGCCATTAACCACTGCTGCATGCAGATGGGAATTTGCCTCATGCTTTACCAGTATACCTTTTCTCCTCTTTCTCTTCCTCTTCCTCGCCTCTTTGCCGCTCCTTCCATGTCCACCAAACATCTAGATTTCCATCAAACTTTTTTTGTACGAAATATGCTCATTATCAACAAATGATTGACTAGAAAGAAAGAAAACCCTCCCCGAACATGCAACATGCATGCAAACTTCCCATCCCTATCCCTTGCCCAGTCCCTGCTGTAAGTCCAAGTCCAAGTCCAAGTCCAAACTCCGTGCCAAGTGAAAGCCAAAAAATGCAACGCTCACGCCACGAGCAGGGGACAAAGGAAACGCTTTCCAACGTACAAACCGCCTACCCGCAACCAACCGGCACAGCCAGCTTAGTTCATCAGTCATCCTCCGCTTATATCCCCAGATTAAATAGGCGTAAAATACCCCGGTACCTTCTCATCCCCATAATGCGGCATCTGCCCCGAGCTCTCCACAGTCGGATAACTGCTCGTCCTTTGATGGCTCGGATACCGCGTAATCAGTTCCCTGGTCTTGCCCGCGGGTACTCGTCCGGCGTAGACCACCTCCTCGTAAGCAGGTGATGCCTCGCCGTAGTGGCCAGCGCCTTCGGGTTGAAGGTGATCTCCTCCCACCCTAGGTCCTCCTGCTCTGATCTTCTCATTCTGATAGTGCGGACTAGCGGGGTTACCGACCATGGCGTTGGAGGGAGCTAGCGCGGGGTCGAAGCCGTTGTGGTTATGGAAGGAAGGGGGACGACCACCACCAGGAGCACCAGGGGCACCAAACTGTTGACCGCCTTCGCCGCGGGTTTTGGACGTTACGGTCATTCCTACCAGAGCACCCATGACGCCGACGAGGACGACGATGATGTACATCAGCAGCAGACCGAGGGAGATGAGCGCTTCTTGGATGATGCCGTTGCGGAGGGATCTGATCACTTTACCGACGGCCTCGTTAATCTCGTCGGATGTTACCGCACCGGGCTTGGCGAGGAAGCTGTTGATGTCGTTATCACCATCAGTGCTCTGCGCCGCGCCGGTGGAGAAGATGTCTTCGTCGAACCGCGGAAGTGTGACCCTGGCGTGGTCGTGCAGCCACGTCAGACCATCTTGGAGGGAGTCGATCTTGCGGCCGATGACGCATCCCACAATGTCGCGGGCGATGTCGAGGAAGACGGTATCCTTGAAGACGGTCTTGAGAGTCTTGTCGATTTCGTTCTCGACGGTGATGAGCGTGTTGTTGACGGATTCCGTGGCCTCCTGCAGCCAGCCGAAGACGTCACTGTTCATGTTTGATTCCATGTTTTTAATGATGGCGTTGGAGTCGTTGGCCCAGTCGGTGCTCACTTGCTTCAGGGTCCCGACCACGTCACCGGCGAAATCGCCCACCTGCGCGGCGAGCTCGGGCGCCTTTGCCTCGATTTGCCGGAGGAGCACCCACTGGCAGAAGCAGGCGAAGAAACCGGCGATGGCGAGGGACAGCACGAAAAGGGCAGGCAGGGAAGTGGCGTACGCGACGGCCCATCTGACCAAGAGCCAGTTCTTGCTACCTCTGTCAAAGCACTTGTCGGCGATTTTGATGCCGCCATCCGAGGTCCAGCGACGCGAGGCAATGTAGACCGCGTCCATAGAGTTGAAGGCCTCCTTGTCCATTACCTCGGCACGTTCCTTTTCGCGCTTGTAGTCACGATATTCAAGGTAGCCCATGACAACCATGGCGAGGACGGCCAGGATGATGATGACAATGAAGAAGGCCATCTTGGCTTTGTGGACAATGGTAATCAGGGACTCGAAGAAGTCGCGGAGGAAGGAGTTGTTGGAGCAGAACGACAAGGCTTGCTTCTCCGCAGTGGGGAACATGTGTTCGTCAACAAGAGTTTTGTTGAAGGCGCCATCGATCTTTTCTTTGACCAAGTTGAAGGGGATGGCGAGGGCAGACTCGGCCAGGTTTTTGGCTTGGTCGAACGTGGGAATCTTTTTGTCAAGGGCATCGAGACCACCAATGGCGCTTTTGGCGTCAATCTTGATTCCCTGGAGATCCTTGATGCGATTGGTGATGTCGATCTTTGGAACATCGATCTTCTTGCGCTCGCCGATAAGGCTTGTAGCACCGCCAATTAACTGGTTCACGCCCCCGATTGCCGAGTTAACCGCATCTTGGAAGCCTTTCATGTCGTCGGAAAGGCCCTTGGTGACAGCCTCGATGCCCTTGTTGATTACGTCGGTTGCGCCCTCCACAACCTTGGTAGCCACGTGCAAAGCGCCGTGGACGAGGGCTGCCACCAGACAGACAAAGGTGCCAATGTACATGTTGAGCACAAACATGATAATCGCCTGGACGCCCGTGAGGATGGCCTTAAGGACTGCTTGCATTGCGTCAAGTGCCCCTTGCATGCTGGCGGCGGCCATTTTGTTGACACCTTTGGACATGTAGTGAGGCATGGAGGCCATGGCGCTTCCGACATCTTCGACCTTGGTGCATCCTGAGAGGGCCTTGACCTTGGCATCGCCAATGTTTTCCTTGAGACTTCCCGTCAGGATGATGACGCGGATCAGGACCAAAAGCAACAGAATCGTCCACCGGTTGAACCATAGTTGTGATAGCCTCGCTCGCAAGCCGAGATATGGAGTGATTTGAGGGTCGGTATCAGGGTGCGTTCTTAGTTGGTGCTCGTCCTGTTGGCCCTGGTGAAGGTCGACGTTTTGCCATGGGGTTGCCGTATTAAGAGAGGATGGAACTGGAGGAATGCCGCCTCCATACTTTTCGTTGTAAGCCATGATACGATGTGTCGTTTTCTCTTCTTGAACCAGCAAGACTGTTTATGTAGTATATCGTGGACTCGATTGCTGATCGTGCAAAGGTCGAAAAAGCGAATATGAAAGCGAATGCCGTGAGAGAGTGGTGTGTATGTGCGCCTGTAAAAAGAGCGACAAAATGCCGGTAACCCGTCCAGACCAGCTAGATGATTACTCTAGAGAAAGAATTACTGAGCCGAAGATCGGGAAAAGGAAAAAGGGAAATGCAAATGACCAAGAGAAAGGACCAAGAGAAAAGAGGCAAAGGAAAAAGAGGGGGTACCCAAAAGAGAAGCGTTGCCCACTACGAATGCATACTGGAAATATGAATAGGTGAAGTATGGGGAAACTCAGGTGAGGAGAGGGAACAATAGAAACAGAGTGCGTCAATAAGGCGACGGACGGGACAATAAGGCCCAGGCAGGCTAGTGACTTGACTGGCCCGTGAGAGGCTGGTGGACCACAGGATACTGTAGCTCGAGAGTCGGGATGATGGACCGAAAGATGGGATGACAGGTGATTTGCAAATGAACAATAGGCGCACCCTGTCCCAGAATAGAAGAAGCCCCATTGTTCGTGAAGGAACATTGCCTTTGTTCGACCTTGTCTGCGTGGACGGGTGGAGTGGGAGGCTGATCAAGGGGTGGTCCCGTAGCCGCGGTCGTCGTCTAAGCGCCGGGACCCTCTCAGCCAGTCGTTCTTTGTCGTGAACAGTGAAGACCCCGGATTCCCTTGGTGGAGAGGTAACCCGGCCAGAAATGACTGGGTTGATGGATTGATGCTAGCCTGCCCCTGTCGTCTTGAGGTCTGGCGCGCTTGCAGCCGGGCCATATTGTTCATGAGGCATGGCCACCTGATGAGACTCGGGAGGGCTCATCGGATTCACCTTGGCCTCACGACATGGTGAACAAGTTGTGCTGGTCCTATTGTCGAACTCGCACAATAGAAATCTCTCATCGAGACGAGACGGTGATGCGCGTCACGGTGAGACCCTTCACCACAATCATTGACTCCGTGTCTGTGGCGCAGCCGTGAAAAATCGAAGGTGGTCGCGAGATCTGGCATGGTCAACTTTTGGTGTTTCCGATCTGCAAATGCAATGCGTTCCATGAAGTGGAAGGAGGAAAAATAAGAAGGTCGCAATGGAAGGCGTTCCTGCGTTTCAACCGCGGCCTGTCCCCCGCAAATGATTGGTACCGGACAAGGGTCCAACAGACGCGCTTCTGGCGACGCCAAAGTGGGGCCTCTACCCGCTGGAGCCCTGACAGCCAGTGAATGGCCTGGAGGCTCTGAAAGTCCAATGACGGCAGCCTGACAAGGGGAGAACTTGCAGCCAGCCGGGCGCTTCCATTCTGCTGTTTCAAAACATATCATACACAAGACAGAAGCATCGATGGCGAATGGGTTCAATTGACTCACCCGAGGAAGGAATTGCCGCGTTCATTTAACCATCGGTGGCTGCCGCTTGTTGTTCAGTCCATGGTCGTTTGCACGTGGTGATGTCTGTTTTCCGCGAACTTTGATAAGCGGCAGGCAGCGGGTATGGTTTGTGCGTCAGAGGCACGTGAGCGTGAGAGGTCCTCATAATTAACAATCTCACGTCCGCTTCACTTTGCCATTGACAACACTACCGGATTGCCATCAAGCGTGCAGCCAAAGTCAAACAGACGGTACGATAGGTAATATTTTCGAGAGTACAAATCTATCACCATCATTGCGTGGACGACTTCCTGTTTGCCCAGTTCATTGTCAGGATGCCTCTCGAGCTGCCTCCCGTCTGCCTGCCTGTCATGGGGCTGGCGCCCAGGGTATCTGCCTGGCTTGAACCCTATACAAGCCAGGCCTGCCCTCCGGTTGAGTGCACTCCTGGGGTGCGCCGCACGAACTACATTTCTGACCTTGGCGTTTCTGGCACCTTCGATATCCGTACCTCTCTTGTGTATTTAGCTGTAAGCTCCATACGATACTGGCACAGACTTCCCTTTTTCTCTTTGTCGAATATTACCATTTTCACTAAGGCCTACCTGCGTGTATACCTTGTAGAACTCTTATAGAGATGAGCCAGCTCTTTATGTGACGAACGGCAATCTGATCTGCCTAAATGAGATAGCTGAAGGTAGTAACTATCAGTGCTGTTCGGTGAAGCCAAAAGGTTCACAACAAGTATGCTCGTAATACTGGTCTCGGTGATAATGATCTATTGACTACTGTCGAACTATCTGACAATCTGAGTTCTCCCGTAGTCCCTTTATACCTGCCCGCCCTCTGCGGGATATCTGTTTCCGGATGTCCACGTAGACGTGAATCCCTTAGTGCTGGCTCACTGCCTATGGGCTGGCTCATCTCTATGAGCCTGGCTCGCCTTTATGAGCCTGGCTCGCCTTCATGAGCCTTCCTTCTTTGTCATGGTTACACTGCCCAGCCTTTATGTGGCTGTTGTGTACCGGTGGCTTGGTTGGCATGTGTTCCTTGCTCATGGTTTGTAACACATTAACTAGTTTGCGATCAATAAGCCAGACGCATGTAATTAGAGACACCAGAGTATAAAAGAACGACTGAAGAACTCATTATCAGATGGTCCTATAATAGTTAATTAGTGTCACGAGCAACGTGGTTACGAGAGACAAAGCTGAATATATTATTCCAGGTCTATAATAAAATCAAAAGATAAAAAAAAAGAGAAAAACGTGCAAAGACGCGCCTGGCGCCTAGGGTTTCAACCCAGGACCTAGGTAGCTTGTGCACGTGTGACGAACGGCAGTCTGAT